TATGGCGAATCTCAACTCTGCTTTTGCAGCAAAACCATTTCCTAACTCCATATATGCTCTACAGGAGCTTTATGATGGCAAAAGTAAACCTACCGGAAAATCTACCTGGATAACTACATGAAACAAAACCTAGTTTCATATTTCTCTCTCTGGGCTACAGCAGTTTTTAACTGCATGAATGAGATGCTGGATATATTTTCTGTACGAAAACTATAGAGAATCACAGGCATCTCAAGATAGAAGAACAAAGTAGCAACCCCTCCCCACTCTACCCAGAAAAATGTAACTCAATAACCATGCTGAAATGTGAGAGTTGGTCACAATTATGCATTTCTCTCTGTCTAGAACCCTAAGAATCTCAGAGCTGCAGTTAAAGGCTGCAGAAATCAAAGGAAATTATTTTGTAGGCATCAGTGGGATACTCCTTACTGTATCACTTCAACAGTTGCCAGCTCCTCCCTCACTGGTCATGTACTTGAAAATTAGATAAGGGACTAACACCCCTCATGGAGCAAATGGGGAAGTACACAAACAACCTAACACAGCAGCCCTAAAAGGGCTTAGGGTGATGTAAACGCTGAAACCTAAGTAAGTCCACAAACACCAACATGACTCTGATTTCACTGCAAAGACGAGGACAGAAGTAATAACTGACTGATGAATCCCAGGCAACTGCTTTCTTTGGCAGTGCCAGCTTTCTTTGACAGTCTAGGGAAAGACCTTCTCTTACTCTTCTCCAGTTCTATCTGTCATATTAGTCATGTTTTGAAAGCATTTCTAGAATCAACTGTCTGAAGGACCACCAAACAGAAATGATAGTTTGTCCTGTAACTAGTTTAGCAAAATAGTGTAGATTGATTACAGTTTCAAATTCTTCAATCCCGTGCTTGAAACTTACTTTATGTTTTATTAAAATAAAATAATAAATAATCGATTTAGAGTTTCTATCTATTTATTCAAAATAAAAGTAGGATATGACCTGGAAGAGATCAATGGTAAAAAAAGAAAGAAATCATGGAAGGGGGCTAAGAAGCTACTTCTTTCACGACTAAAGGTCCAAAGAACATTCTCAGTAAGCCAGGTAAGTAACTAACATGGTTGTTACAGAATATTTATGACAGTGGCGACCATGTCACATCACTGAAGCATGCACAATGGGAGCAAGCTTTCTAGCAAATATATCTGCAAAAGAGACATGCAGTTAGGTCTAACTATCAATCACCTGGACATGTGAATAAATCTATAGTCAGCGGTCCATGTTTTGTTAAAATAAACTTCTACCATATAGAAATCTTGCTGCCCAGTAAGACCATAAGACCACAGATGATAAAACACATTATATGTACATCACAATAATAACTCAACTACTAGACCAGCAAAGTTTTGAATATTCACATACTACAGAGAGTAAAGTGTATTTACAATGACAGGTTATACTATTCTGATTAAGTTATATAGGTTTAAGATCCCACCACAGTGAAACAATCAAGATTTTTGCATGTCTGTTTGGGATTTTATTTTATAATTTACATTCTTTAATCAGAGGTTACTGATCCACAAGAGAACATCTATATAGACTATTTAAGTCTCCTCTCCCCTGGAAGTGTGTGTGTAACTCCCATTAATGCTAATGGGCATAAAGCACACGCATGGAGTAGAAAATAGACCCCACACTGTGAAAATAAAAGTGTTCAGTTATTTTCAGACATGATGCTGAAATCAAACAACTAAAAGTACATACTCTAAGGAGATAACATTATATAGACTAACTGAAAATGTCACCATTATTCTTAACTCCCTGGTCATGGATCAAGCCACGTTCTTCATGTTTCTGCCAATTCCTGCATGATAAATACTATGACTGGATAACGTATCAAAAAGGGCCAAATTCTAAAGTCTTACACAAGCAAAACAGCCCTGATCGCATAACCCTTGCCTTCACAAAGGATGCAAGGTTAGGTCTTACATTTTCCCTTAGGCCATATAATGTTTTCTCTTTATACCATATGGGTTAACAGCAACAGTAAAATTTACTGCTCTCTAGAATAGTTCTTTAAAACTGTGATGAACCTACCAAAGTAAAAGTTCCTATCACTTAATTATTTTCCTTCATGATTTGATATCCTGATGTTTTCTGCTCTGATCAAAATTAATGGATGTCCTGACTTGAGCCAGGATGAAGCCAATGTTGTCTCTTCAAACAGGTAAGAAAAATTGCTTATACAGTATTCAAAGACACTGTGCTCTACTATAATACAAATAGAGTAACTTTTTCTGATGGAACCAATGTTTTATGTACTTACAGCTGATCTAACAAGATATTTGGAACAGTCATGAGAAAACAAAGGTTTTTAAATGTTGCATTTTAAGTGGAACATTAATGTTTTTAGTGAGTTGATTTAGGGTCTCTGTAAAGTGGCCTGCTGACTTTCTAATGCAAGTAATCACCCCCATCTTCCCAAATCAGAGAGATGCACTTTCAAATAAGTGGATGCTACTGAGTTATCAGTCAGGCAGGGGTGAGTTCTTGCAGTGATGAGGCCTTTTCAGAGGCTTATGCTGTAGGAGATGGGTAGAGTGCTATTGCTGAAAGGCCAACAGTCGCACCTTATTGTTGGGCTTTGCAATACTGCTGGGTCAAATACCAAAGCAAGGTGCTGCCAGGTGCTGTACAGTCCAGCTCCCAGCTCCTTGACCCCAGCCTTGTGCTCATTCATCTGCTTTTATACTGAGTCAGTTCATGGAGAAAAAATACCCCCAGGAAAACAAACCCAGCAAACAAGAATACGTAAATGCTTCTCTGCTGATCCATCCCTCTCCCCACAATGCGGGTGGTGCCAAGCGCTGCTACTGGCACACACCCGGGGCAGCAGGGACGTGGCCAGGGACTGCTGGCTGGCAGCGGGAGGACTGACCCTTTTAAACTGTCAGACCAACCCCGTCGTATCCCAGAATCACACCCGTACAAAAAGGACAATCAAAGGAGGACTCCAGCTGAGCCAAGGAGCTGGCCGGTGCCTGCACACTGAAGTACAGAGCCCTGAAGGCTGCCATGCTCCTTGAGACACCTTCCAAAAGCATGTGCAGGCTGTGAGTCCCCTTAGCTTGAGGACAGCTAAGCACAAGATAACTCATCAGAGAGCTCTTATGGACTGGCACAGAGGGTTAATGACTGAAGAGGCTGTTATTCACTGTACAAGCCCTCCGTGATCTTACGAGCACCGTTCTTCTTTGAAACAGAAAAATCCACTAACAACAGAGCAGCTCTGGTAGCATCTGAAGCTGTTGCAGCCCAGACCATCTCTCCTAAATTTGGTACAGGAATTACTGCAGAGACTGATACTGCCAAAATGAACCAGGCAATGAACTAATGAGCTTCTTCATTCATTATGGAAGAGGAGGAGGGGTGGCAATGGCCCATGACCTGTCAGCAGCCATGTGGATGGGCATCCATCTGTTTGTGTAACTAACTGTGCATGGATCTGTGCTGGAGACACTGGGAGTCTGCAAGGGCAGGGCATGCAACATCCTTGAAGCAGAACACTTGTACGTATCACTGACCTGGACTCACACAAATAAATACTGTAGAATGACTCTTTTCTTTTTCCTTTTCCATTAATAGAAGCTTGTCTTTTGGCTCTGAGTGTTTCATGGTGACTCAGTTTGCAAGTTTAAGTCTGATTACAGAGAGTAAAGGACAAAATCTTAAATATTACTTTTTCTGCATAGAACACTAAATCTATTTTCTCCCTGGGTGCAGGGATAAACAATCCTATGAATGATTTGGTGTGTGATACGCAAGAAGAGACATTTCTACCACCTGTCTAGACTCCCAGACAAGATAAGACTGCACTGTCATCAAAGACATTTTCATAGTCTGTCATATCACTTGAAAGACAGAAAAACCACCTTTTCGGAACTGTCATGCAAAACTGAAAAATAAATAAATAGTCTGGCCTGCCAGTGTCACAGGGGAAATCTGAATGCAGTAACCTTAGACACTTTAGAAATTATGCTAACAATACAGCAAGAAGTTTCAGCAAATATTTGTGAGGAAAGGCAGCTCCTCCACAAGTGAATGCAATCCAAAAATGAGTCATGCACAAGCAATTTTGCTATGGGCCATAAAATCACTTTACGAGAGTTACAGATAATTCTGTATGTATTCTATAATGTTTTCCTACTGTGTAGAGATGGATATCTCAGTATCCTATCACAGATAATGACGGAAAACAAATTCTCTACATAAAAGCTGATTGCTCAGAGATTCACCCTCAGCTGTTCCAAAGGACTGTAATGCCGACAGAACACTTTAGAGCATATTCATCAACAGAGGTAGATTCCATCAGTGCCAAACACACTGCAGTTTAGATGTTTTTTCTAAAATGTAGCAGGATGGATTGAGAATAGCCTGAAGGCACAGAATACACATCTTGCTATTTCTCAACACCTACATGCTCTTTATCACACATGCACCTACCATCCTCCACAATAACACCTCTAATTTCCTCCTGATAGTTCTTTTGCACATACTCAGCATTATTCAGTACTAACTGTACACTAACTGTGCTGCAAAAAATCTACAGCATTAAGCCAGTTATGAAGTAAGACATACTGGAGTATAAAAGGTGAACCCTTCAGTACCAGCTTTAGAACAGGGCAGCTTCTTTTTGCACCCCTATTTTCCTCTTTACACTCCTTTGTAACTTTTTCCAACTGTACCCACAGGATCATAAAAGAAAACAATTCAGGAACACCAAAAACTTTCAAAAAAGACTTATTTCATGAGACTTTAACTAGTTAACTCTTCTGAAAGGTAGCTTTAAGACACTGTTGGCAACCCAAAGTCAGCGGGGACTCCAATGAAAGAAATCTGGCTAATTCGGCAGAGCTGTCCTAACTCACATGTTATGATACATGATCTTTTCTCAGTTGGATGTGGCATTCTCCAGGAGCCAAACTTTAAAAAAAACCAACACAACACAAACCAATAATAATACCTCTCCAACATCATAGATCCATATGCGGCCTTCTGAATCACCAACTGCTACCTCCTTCCCAGCCTGGGCCCAGCGGACACGGTTGAGGGCAGAAGCTCCTTCAATGGTGACGCTTGCTGTGGGAACCTGTAGAAACAATAGGAACAGGAAGGACAATAAAATCACACAGCCTGCGAACCAGGGGGTCAGTTCTGAATGTCCTGCTTAGCTGGGTGAGTCACAAGTTCCTCTGCATTGCTGGAAGTAACACACAATCCTTGCTGGGGGCAGAAAAAAAAAGTGTTCATTGTTTCTTTGTGTGCTAAAAAGAGCAAAGAGTAGGAGATGGCTTGGAATGAGCAGGGAAGTCTTTTCCACAGTAAAGGGCAGTAAATGAAACAGTTTTTTCCCCTAAACCTCAGAGACATGCAAACCCACATCTGCTTCTTTCTCAAAAGTCATCAGCTTATGACCAAGAACCAGCTGAGGTCAGGACTTGGCTTCAGTCCTGTCCTGGCTTCTGGCCTCTAATTTGGACCCAGATAACCTGATGGTTGACAAACACATCCCTGTATTCATGTTGACACATCCTTTAATCCAGATGCACCTCTGCGACTAGATGCAGAGGTCAAAACTTAGGTATCTTATATCAGAAAAGTCCTGAGCTAATCACTTCAGAGCAAGGACACAGCAGATGTAAGAACAGCTGACCTGGCATTTAGGAACACCTACAATATATACCCACAATTCTCTTTGACATGCCCAGGAGACTTCTACTTTAAATACATCTGGATGCTGTCTGATTTCCAACCCCTCTCCCTGCCCCAAGTTAACCAACTTAAGAGGTGATCCACAAGAATACATAAAGATAATGGTTAATGCGTGACAGGAATTGAGCAATGAACACCATTTTAGGAGAAGTATTTGTAATCCACACTGGAATGAGGGCACCAAAAGATGCTGTGGGAGGAAGGAACTGTGTGGGTGTTTGTCCCAGATAGGTAGATCACTCAGTTGATCTAGGTCACTTCAGAAGACAAATGATGGTAACCTGCAAGTCTGCTAATGCTCCACCCAGCTGCCATTAACAGGAGAACCTGCCTGAGCAAGAAGCCTGTAGCGTGGTGTGACAGTCTTCCAAACAAGGCTCGTTAGTTTTAATGCTCTTTAGTATTAATGCTTTTTAGGTCAGGGCAAATGGGAATAAAGCTCCTGTGCCAGATACATCTGTGGGAACAAGCCTTGGTCACCCAGTGAGACTGGGACAAGGGAGCGTCCCTGGGATCTATAAATGGACATGGAATTGGAGAGCAGTCCAGGCAAGAAGAGGTGGCTGGACAGGAACCAGAGTCTGGGCTACTTCTGGAGCAGCGACAGGCACTCCTGTCCTCATGGTCAGCACAATGCAGCTGAAGCACGAAGAAAGCAGCTTGAAGGCTAGTCTGAACATTGACAAAGATAAACAAAACCAGGATTTTGCTGACTTCATCTCAGTTCTCTGGCTGTAGCTTTACATTGTAATCATGAGACAGGTCCAAAGATCCAGGAGAAAAATAATTTTAAAACACTGTATAGCTTCCATGCCAACCTCCTACTCCTCAGCTGTAGGGCCTTCGTTGTGTCACATGAGTGACGGCAGGAAGCTGAACCTTTACGGACTTCCCGAGACTCTCATTACGGCTTCAGCGCATGCACAGTCCCACCAGCAGCAGGACAAGGACTGGGAAGCCTGGCTACTTGCCTTGCCTCTCTCCCTGTGAAGAATTCCCCACTTCTCCTCACTGCCCCTGACACTGGGCTGCAAAACCAAGCTGGAACCTCCAGCACAGCTAGCCTGCCAAGCTAAGGAGTCACCTCTGCAAAGGGCTTCACTGTAGCTTCACTCCTGTGCCCCACATGTGACATGCATGAGGATTTTGTTTGCAGAATGATGTAGAAATAATGTTGGATAGCAATCAGAAAGCAGATACCACCTCCCCACCCCCCTTTAAGAACTAATTCAAATGCAAAAAGCTATTGGACTCATCTCCCCATTGTGCAAGGCCTAGGTCCTGTCCAAGGCAGCATTATCCAAAAAAGCTGGCATGCTCTAACTCCTCGTCCCAAGTCTGTTATTGCTTCATGGGTGAGAGTCAATGGCTGAAATCAATGACATGGGGTCACTGATCCATGATAAAGTCATAGTAGAAAACGAGCAACTTCTACTCCTGTGATCACCAATTTCTAAAAAATCCCGCTATTTTAATTCCAGCCAAAATTAATTTCATAACATTTGGAAAACGGGTTTCTTCAAACAAGTAAATGCCACATTTTAGAGGACTAATCTACTAACCAGCTCTGTTCCTCAGAAAGCTTTAGATCAAAGATATTTGTTTCACACGCAAATACATAAACAGCACATATTTAAGGCACTGAATTTTTCACCAAATCTTCCTGAAGGCTGAAACACATAACTCTAGAGCTGGGTTTTTTGTTAATACAGCATTCTTTCAGTGTTCCACATAAAAAAAGGAAAAGCATGCATGCCACAGACACAAGACTCAACCCATGCTTTTTTTTTTAAAAAAAAAACCAAACCCGATGTTTTTGTAAAATGCTGTAACTATTCCACAAAGCTACCTAACAAAATAAAAAGCAATAATGAAACTATCCTAAAAAATCTAAATAAAAAGCCTTTTCTCCATTAACATGGAGAGAAATGCAGTCAAACCAAAGTATCTTAAAATAGATTTGTCTGCTCTCAGTAGTGATAGGTTGAATTACACGTGCCTATTTTAGATTTCAAAGATTAGAGTTTATTTTATAGTGATAGCATTATGTTTTTAAAATCACATTTGAAATACTTTACAAAATCTCTGAAGTTGGTGCTTGTCAGGTTTTTAACAATTTTGAAATGAGATTTTAACAGGTAACAGATTAAGAAAGATGCAGTCAGAAAAGCCTGCATGATAAGAGTATACCTTTTTATTTATTTTTTACTTGTAATGCTTATGTAGTGTCAAAACCTGCTTGCAAATGTATCTGTTCTCTGATTCTAGAAATAAACACCATCTTCACCATATCAAACCCACCCCAACAATAATAATTTGAATAAGATATAACCCACCAGAGATAAGTGAATTTGTAAGTCAACTTAGTATCAGTTCATAGATAAATAAAACTCAACAATAACCTAGAGACTTTCTCCAATATTGATCAATAAAGGAATGTAACGGACACACAGGTAAGAAATCAGCACTTGGTAACCTGAAAATTATCTGCAAACCTCACTATACTAATCCATAAAAATAGTACTCATTTTGAAAATGAAGTAATGGGTAAGGATTTTTTTTGCTTTTTAAGGTTTTATAGTCATTTATCAAATATAAAATAAAATGTGATAACCTTCACTGCTATTACAGGAACAATTTCTGGTATCCACAGATCAGCATGAACCACACAAATACCCCTGCTACTTTACACTGAGATTTTGAGAAGAACTGATTAAATCTGTGGTACGGTTAAATGACTGTAGTTATTTTGATCGGAAAGCACATAACTCTCAGGAGAAATGTTTTTAATAAACACTAATGGAAATTGTGTTCCAGTTAAAAAACGTGAAGGTAGTATATTGTGACTAAAACTAGGTATTTTCTGAATTGGTTTACAAAATAATACCAAAATAACAATGTGGCTTATTTCCCAGATTAAACAAAACCAGGTCTCATAAATAACAATAATATCCAGTTCTTACACAGAGATTTTCATCAGTAGCTGGCAGTTAAACACATTAATACACCTGTCATTTTCTACTGTCTTCACAAATACTTTAATATCACATATCTGACATCTAGAAGTAATAGTAATCTATAAAATAGGTACTGCAAGATTTTTTATTACCAAGTGCTGATGTGGCCTTTTTCTTAGCAAGCAGCAGTGGAGACTTAAATGGTGTAAACAATTACAGAAATCTTGAAAATTATAAACTAATTATGACCCACGAGATAGAGGGCAACGTTCACTTTCAGTTACGATGTTCTACAAAACTGCTTACAGTTCTCTCTTCCAGCGGCACTTCTGCTGCTTCTCCGGCATAACAAAACCTCGCATCTATTCAGAGTTTACCAGATTACCATTTATAGCGATTTTAAAATTTGTTTCATCAGTGCTCACTAAGGAAACCAAATGGTATTTTTGCTTTCAGAGACCCAAGTTCGATTCTTATAAAAATACAAAACTCAGACACCACGGAAATAATCCCAGTCTGATCCTTACATGAGGGCTGATTTTGACCTCTCAGAATGGAAATAATTTGTGAAATCAGGGGTGGCCCTGCATGCAGAAAAAGAGCGGGATTGAGCCTGAGTATTTTTTTTATGTTCCTATGTATTTATATGTAAACACACTGAAAACATCTCAGCACTTTTCTACGTACAACTTTATTATTGATGGGAAGGGGATCGAGTGGTCAACATTAATCTTTTAGAAATAAATTATGGTCTCATTGACTTAAATGGCAAAACATCAGTTGATTTCAAGCAGAGCAGGATTTAAGCCCTGGTATTTGAGGGGAAAGGGTTATTTTTTTTTTTTCCTTCTTCTTCTTCTTAAAACGCTGGGGTTTATGCTCTGTGTTTAGGCCTGCATTAATGACAACACCTGAAGGATATGTCCCTCCCTTCCCAAAATAAATTCTGAGGAGACTCCTCTTGTATATCCTCCAGCTGTATATGCTCTAATTAAAAAGGCTGTGCTGCTTCCTGCTCAGAGCACTTCAAAAGGCCCCACTGCTCCCCTTGACAATGCAGCGCCCGGTGCTGGTTCCTCTTACCTGTCCATGCTTATTTATGGCAAGCACCATTCATTGGAAGCCATAAACTGTGCCTGTATTTTACCCTGTCTGAAATGTATAGCATGTTTTTCTGAAAGGCGTTTTAACTACCAAACTAATCTTAAAAAAATATAAATTGTAAAAAATAGGGTGCATGGGGGAAATTCTGCCGCTTGCTCTTTGGTCTTCTCGGTTTTGGAAATAAAAAAACCCTGCTTAATATGTTACTCTTTTACCATCTGTTTGTTCTTAATTTTACATGGCATTAAGTAAAAATACACAGGACTTCAGTGGAGGGAAAGAAAAAGCCGATTCTTGTGCTGAGTACTGATTGCTG